GGGGGGGGGTCCAAAATGGGCCACCATGCTGCAAGGCGCAAAAACGGCCGTGCTGTGGGGTGCAGATACAAGGCCCTGTACCATGCAAGAACGGGGGCAGGGCTAGTGAGTATCACACAGGCACGAGCCCCGCCCCATTTGCAGCACGTGTGTGCTCACGGCCCCATGCACGCATGCACGCGTGTACAATGCTTCCCTCTCCCTTTTCTTCCAGTCCACCAATCGACAATGGTGGGTGATCTCTGCTTCACCACCTCTACTCGAGCTTGCTAGTCGGTCGCTTCGTCTCCTTTTGTGCTGGGCGGGGCTCCTGCTCCGGGCGGCAGTGGTGGCCTGAGGCACCTGCTGTTGGTGGCAGTGGCGCGTGTGCCAACAGAGAGGGCTCTGAGTGCCGCCTCGCCATAGGTTCGCCACCACTGCCCTACACCATTCCAGACCAATGGTCACCCAACCTCTTCTTGGAAAGTTTCTGTTCCTCTGGTTAATTGTCCTCACTGTTAGGAGATTTCTCCTTGGTTCCAGGTTGCTTCTCTCCTAGATGAGTTTCCATCCTTGTCCTGCCTTCTGGGGCTTTGGAGAATAGGTGCAACCCCCCCCCCCCACCTTCTTGTGTAAGGCAGCCCCTCAAATACTGGAAGACTGCTATCCTGTCACCCCTAGGCCTTCTTTTCCCTAGACTAGACCTGCCCAATTCCAGCAACCGTTCCTTGTGTGTTTCAGCCTCCAGTCCCCTGATCCTCTTTGTTGCTCTTCTCTGCACCCTTTCCAGCGTCTCCGCATCTTTTTTGTATCATGGCGACCAAAACTGGATGCCGTATTCCGAGTGTGGCCTTACCGTCAGTTCTCGTGATCTCGATTCTGTCCCTCTGTTAATGCAGCCGAGGGACCAGGGTGGCTTTTTGGGCTGCTGCTGCTGCTGCTGCTGCACACGGCTGGCTCACCTTGAAGGGATCGTCCACTCGGACTCCCAGATCCCTCTCGCAGTTACTAATACTACTGCTAGTACTACCACACTGGGCCAGATGCCGCCTATTCTGAACGGAGGACCGAAAGGCGGAGGAGTCACCGGGGATGAACAAAAAGCCGATGTGGGCCCCCGTGAGGTTACCACCTGTGCCAGCGGACTAGGCAGCCTGGAAGGCAGCAGGTGCCCCGGGTGGTGGGAGAAGGAGAAGGGGCCCTGGAAGAACATCCGGAGGGCAGTCCAGAGAGAGGTGAAAAGGAAACGAAAGAGCCACGAGGAAGGAAGGCCCAGCACAGCAGCCTTCGGCACCACGGCCGGGCGAGGTGTGGAGAGGCTCGCGCCGAGCAGGCCTTCCGATGCTGGGGTTTCATGTCTCCTGGGGAAGTGGAGGAAAAAAACAGGGGGGGGTCTTGGTTGGGAAAAAGTTCCCTTGAGGGTCCTGGGACCCCCGTGACTGGCACGACTCCGATCCATGTATAGGGACAGGCGCGTCGCGGCATCTGAGCTCCCTTGCCAGGTGTGAGTCTGGGGTGTTCCCTGAGGGTGGGCAGTTCCTTCCCTGTTGAGGGGCGACCCCCGAGGGCCAGGAGATGCCCAACACCACAAGCAGGTGTGGGGAAAGCAGCTGTCCTTTTGGGGTGGGGGTGGGGACGGGGGGCTCCTCTGGAGCACGCTGCCCCCAAGGGGGCTCCGGAAGAACTGCAGAGTGCTTAGCGGCAGAAATAAATCCCTGTTCCTGCCTTAACTGTAGGTTTTAAGTGTGTATCGCTCTTGTTTCTCTTGTGTATTATTACTTTGTATCATTGTGTTGGCTTCAGCCGCCGTTCTTTCACACCCCTTGGAGTCAGTTGTCTGAAACGGTCTATACAAATTTAGAAATAAGGCATAAACAAAGGACAGAAGGACAAATAGGCCACAAGCCAGAAGCCAAACCCAGCAGGGACCCCCGCGGGAAAAGCCCCACGGAGAAGGGAGAGGGAAGGAAAAGCCCCATGGGGGAAAGTGAGGGAACGTGGTGGAAATGGGGGGAGGGGGAGGTGCAGGTCAGGTGGGTGTGGGGATGCAATGCCCTTCCGGACAGAGAAAGGGGGGTTCGCATGCCGGGGGTCTGCCCTAATCCTGGCCATTTGTTCTCCACCCGGCAGGTTCGCTGGGGCCACCCAGACCCGAGGATACGTCGGCCAGGACGGGCAGCTGCACTGCGTCTCCCCTTTGCTCTACGAAATCGGCCTGGTCAGCCTGGAAATTTCTCTGGATGGCGGGAAGACGTTTCCCTGGTCGGGAACTTGGACTTCAGGTGAGCGGCTTCTCTGCTTTTCCTCATCTGCCCGTCCAGGCTCCCCGCGTCCCCTTCTTCTAAGGAAGACGTGGTCGGAGGCCACGCGCAGCAAGCCGGGATAACGTCGTGTTCGTTTGGCAATGCAGGAAGCAACTAACCCGAGCCTCTTCTGCTTCACCCTGCAGTTCATCACAATAAGGTTCCCCTTTCCGAGAAGAGCATGCTGATCAACGAGACCAAGTGGCAATACTACGGCACCCCGGGGACGGGGGGACACCTGGCCGTCATCTGGAACTCACACGTGCTGCCCTCCAGCCACGTCCACCTAGAGGTTTGGGGATATCACGAAACAGGTACCCGGTTCTCGTTCCTGCAGGCCGCGTTCACCGTGCGAGGAAGGCCGTTTGGGTGGAGAAGGGGCCATGATCGGATGTTCGCCTTTCCAGCTGACGGAATGGGACATCCGTGGAAGAAATCGGCCTGGCTTGTCAGCTTCCAAAAGCTGCCGGGTCAACCAAAAAGGGGGCCGCAGAGAAGGCCCAGAGGGTTCGCCAGGCATCTCGGTGGGCGCGGATGAGGTGGCCTAGTTAGGGAGTGGAGCGCCTGCGGCCGGCGGTCACACCGCCACCCTGAGCTTTGCCTGTTTTCTTCCGGACGGAGCCAGCCGTAGTGCTGCCATCCGGCGGATTTTCAGGTTTTTGCTGCCCGTATCTGGCGCTCGATCTCTGGCAGAGCAGAAAAACTGAGGGCCACATAAAAAACGACGACAAGCCAGAGGCGGCTTCGGAAGGGCCGTCCGAAAATCCGCCTCGGCTGTGCCTCAGAGGGAAACCGAGGCGTTAAACCCCAGCCCGGCTGCAGCCATCTTGAGGCTTTTGCCTTTCGGAAGAGGAGCTGCTGCCGCAGAGGAAGCATGCCGTCCCCTGCCCCTTCCCGTGGCTCTTTCCCATGCCCCCCCCAAGTCTCACGGGGCAGGGAGCTCCAATCCCAGCCAGGCGGTCCTACCAGTAAAATGGCTGCTGCAATGAAAGGCTTTGGCTGTCTAACCAACCCCTTGAATTGCACCGGGAAGCCTGTAGGAAGCCAGGGGCAGCTTTATTTATTTATTTTCTTATTTTCATTAACTTATATGCCGCCCTTCTCCCCATGGGACTCAGGGCGGCTCACAGCATGTTAAAACAATATAAAACATTATCCCCTATAAAAGCCAATTAAAAACCAAATATTTATCGCTGTGTCTTATTAAAATCATTAAAATTGTCCCTATTTAAAATTCACCCTAGGTCAGACC